GGAATACGATGCTCATTAAACCGTGTTACTGGCTGTGCAGTCCTGTTGATAGAGATGGACCCAGGGGTCAACACAGGTCCCTAGCCAGGACTACATAGTTACTACTCCTGTCCTTTATCACCCATTTATTTCTCTTAACAGGTGCTACTTCCATCTGAGTATGTTCCACCGTAATCCTCTTTATTAGCTTTTTATTTCGTTTTTTTAAATAATTCAAGGGAAGGGGAGGTGTACTAGCTTTATTTATCACCTCTTTTATGACATTCCTGGCTCCAGTACGCACCTTTTGTGGATTTATGAAATATTAAATGCCGTAAAAGTGGCACCTTGTATATGTGGAATTAAGTTTCCCCATATAAACAGCTGTTGAAGTCAGCCCGGGATCGTAACCCGGGTCTTTCTTCATTCTGCTGAGCCATAAAAGCCCTGTGATGGTACAAAAGTTTCAGGCCTGCTCCTATAGAGGGTTTTCAAACTTTTTTTACTAATGCTGCTTTAGAAGGAAATGAATTTTATCCCATCATAACAGTTATATCTTGTTTGAACTCTACATCTCTTAATAAAGATATATTATGTATTGCTGTCAATTAGGGTAACAGCTGCTGTATATGTATTTATCCTATGATAATCTGCAAAGAAATTGACCAGTCTGATAATACAACAGTTGGTGTGATAAGATTTTTCAGAACAGCCAATTTCAATTTAAGTACATTTGATGGAAAAAGGCACAATTTGACAGGAAAGTCCCACCCTCATATTTGTGGTACAAAAAAACAGGTATATAGTATATACATGTACATGTAGTTGGCTGGAGGCCATGACTGTCTTGAATACTAAAGTTAGAAGATTGTAAATCGGTTCTAATGGTTCATATCAAGTTACAGTTCTCTTGCTTGTGCCAGATTTCTCACAGCAGAGGCGTTATGCATTGGTGTAAAATTTGATGTGTCTGTTCCCATTTCACCCAAGAGTCGTATCAAAATTGTAGTATGGCACTTAGTCTGGCTTCTTCGTGTCAACTGAGTCCTACGGTCTTTACGTTTCAATCACCATAAACTTCTGTGCACTTACAGGTACAGCCTGTAAAAGAGTTATGATGATAATTAATAATTTCGATAACTTTCTCCTTCCTAATGGCTAGCTTAGGATTTGATGACATTGCTTTCTTTACAGCATAGTCAGTGCAGAAAGTATTCAAATGCATATAGATATGAAACTCCTTTGCTGAAACTTTATGTACTATGTATGAAAGGATGCTTGAGGTACTTTTGTAATAAAAGATACATGTACATATAGCTGGGATCCTCTTTGCATTGTGATAGACTGTTACTAGTATTAGCATTGATAACATTGTCCTTTCCCGTAAACATTTGCTTAAGCATCAGCTCCAGTATTAGCAAACTAATGCACTTTACACGACTTTCCCCACTGTGTATATAGTATAGTGTCTGGTGAAGTGATACTGTGTCCAAACACTGATGAGGCAGTATGCCAATGTGCGGAGATTTGCACATTTGTCACTAAGAATCATACATTTTTTTCTGTTTCTACAGACTATAGTGAAAGCAGCAGAAGACTTGGCCCTAAATTACACCTATGACCCCGACCTGGCGGTAAGAGACCACAGACTTTTCTACAATACTGTACAGTCTTTTTTCAAATGAAGTCATCCTTTTCTTACAAGCCACCCTTTTAACATATGTTAATAAGGAAGATATGATCTATAACAATCTTGGATGTATAGGTTTCTTGATTTTAGAATCATTGAACTTTTTGTGACTTTTGGTTTATAATTGTGACATATACACCAGCATCCTTGCTGCAGGAAGTAGTTTACGATCCCCAGATAAGATTCAATTTCAAATCACCGCCGGTGTAATGTAACGACATCAAACATCAAAAAACGCTCATGACCAGTATCCTCTTTCTGTGAGCAAGATAAATGCCCCTACCCTGTCCCTTGGGGAGACCAGTCCATGATAACTAATAGAGTTATCCAGTAAATACAGCATGGTGATCCTGCTTTTTCTCCCCCCACGGCAGATAGAGGATGTCCACTGGTATGATGCCAAAAATCTACAAGACGGAGACCCAATCCTGACGTATGATCCACAGTTCAGGAAGCCTATCAACCGTACCTACAGTGCCATCCATCTGCCCACAGATATCTGGAAGGGAGGTATGGATTTTTATTATCTTACAGATCATTTAGTCTTAAAAGTACATTGTGTCCTGACAATTTCAATAGAATGATACATTCTTCAAGGGCTTGTAGGTTTTCCCTATACTTCCTTTCAAAAGTCCAATAAAGTCTTGTATTAAAAAATTTGGTTGATGATGATGATAGATTATGTAGACTATACCTAACTGTATCTTTAAGTCATCAGGATAGTCTGAGTTCTTTTTACTTTTGATAAAATTTTGACATACAGTTATCTGATTTATTTTTGGATGTAATGGCATTGGAAGTAAAGTGATAAAGGGAGCTTGCCATGGGAATGTTGAAAAACATTTAAATGGCAAATTTATTGCTGATGTTCCTCCTAATTGTATTCTGATTAAAACACTTTCTTATCTTGTTCAGATCCCAAGATTGCCAACGAGCTGAAATGGTCAGACAAGCTGGATGAAGTCTTCTATGCCAACACAGTAGAGGACCCAGGCCTGCTGTGGCAGTACTTTGGCAGCAGCAAAGGACCCTTCAGAAACTACCCAGGTACAATCATCAACATGCTGACTAACATTATACTGATAGCAACCAAAACATGTGGATGGATAGGCATTTTCTTCAAAAAATCTTCTGATATCCTGTTGGGTATGTTTTGGACTTGATGTTGCATGGTACGTGTATAGTTGTTGCAGTTGTTGAAATGATATCCTTAAAGGCATCCAATGCCATTCCAGAGTGCTGAAACTGCATTTTCAAAGTCAATTTTTAAGCAAAATATGTGCCGAGCAACTATTTCTTATGTTTACGGGACCTCTCCTTGGTGCTGAAACTATGGCTGGAATAACATTTGGGCTTTCCAAGAGTTTAAACACATCCAATGCTATTTCAGGGCAACAAAACTTTATTTTTTTGGTCATTCTTTCAATGTAGTAAGTTGAATTAATCTTATCCCATAGCATACTCAGACATCTGTGAGCAAAAATGCTATATCGCTAAAGGAAAATGGTTGCTTCTTTTGAATAATAGGCTGGTTCTAGCTATTTATGGGCGGTGTCCCAAAAATAAAGAGATACCTCACATAGCTTGTTTTGGTGCTAAGACATGGCATTAAATGTCAATATCAGACAGATTTCATCATCCAGAATATTTTTGGTTTTACCTTCCTGAAATTACATTGGATGCCTTCAAGGAAGCATAGTTTGTTTGGTTGCTATAAGATTACAAAGAAGAAACCATTACAGTAGAGACACAGAGAAAGACAAATTGAAGTTTCATGTCTTGTTGCTTCCACGAGTGAGTGGAATAAAAAAGTGGTAAACCCAGTTGACAGGATTTGAAAAATCAGTTTCTATTTTAAACGATGCCCAACTCAAACAGAACAAAGACACCAGACAGTGACTCACAAAAGTGGGTGACAGAATTAATGATGGGTCTTTTTAAAAGCTTTTGTGAGCTGTCCCAAAGGGTAGAACTTCCCTAATGCACAATTTCTTAGAGACTGAGACAGTCCCAATAGCGCAGCTTAAGATGCGACTGAGGAAGACACTGTGTATCGCGGGAGGAGCAATTAAAGTTAAATGATTTATTTCTGACATTTTCATGCCGCAGACAGAAGATTTCACTTTATTTATTGGAATACCTGAGTGGGAACCAAATACAAGGTAGAAATTGCTTCATCAGTCATTTTGGCAATCAAGACAAATCTGGAGTCTGTGGCATGGGAAATGTCAGATACACACAGTGATATCAGGATCCACTGGGTACCACTTGTCAGTGAGTACATCATGCAAAAACGTCAGGATAGAAGAATCTGCATTCTTGTCAGGCAAAACAGGCAAGATGACTGGAGTCATGTAAGGGCATTGCCACTTCCCAATAAGCACTTAATGTCTGACTGTGCATCTCTATATGGGCAGTGTGGGAGTTGTAGTCAACTCTGGAGGGTTGATGATTAAAAGGATACAGTAAATTTAATTTTCCATGCTATGGCCCATATTTCCCAGCCTGTAAGGTTCTTGCCAATGGTTGTGCAAATTGTATCTTAACTTTGACATCTTAACTTCAGTCTAGGGAAGTGAAGAATTGTTCAGCATTGTCTGTGTGTCTGTCTTTGTTTCTGTAATGCAGTTTCTGTAGGTTCCACCCGAAGGTGCTTACCATCTAAGGGATGAAGTCTGCTGTCTCTGTTTGCATTCTTGCATAGTCAACTCCACTGCAAGGAAAGTTTTTTGTTCAGAATGACTATTAGCATTCGTACTTATTCTTCTGTTGTATGTTATGTAGCATTCCAGTGGGAGAGTCCAGGGACAGTAGACCTGTTTGATGTCAGGAGAAGGCCGTGGTGAGTTGGGACATTTTCTATCATAACAGAAATAGGAATAACATATGAAAATGGGAAAGACAACATTTGCAGAGCAAATGTATAATGTTAACCTTCCAGTCAGGATCTAGCCAAACAAATGACTGCGCTGTTTATTCTTACCCAAGCACATGTATTGTGACCAGCCCCTCTAAGTCTCTGTCCTGCCACTTGCTACATAATGTAATCCAACACCACAGGATGTCTGCTACATCAAGTTACCAGCTGTCTGGTCCAGGTCATTGACCTTATTTGTTTGGAATGGAAGAAGAAGAAGAAACAGCAAACCAATGTGTTTCCTTCTGTGGAGGCAAACAATTAAATATTAAGTAAATACATGTACTATTGGAAATTTCTTTGTAGGGAAAGTCAAACCAACAGCCTAGTTCTCTTTCCTGGATGATGCACAAAGTCCTTGAGTCTTCTCCATTCACGAATTGTTCGTTCAATCAAGTTACGCATTCCTAAATGCATCAAATTTTGCTTTTAATCTTCTTTGTGCTGACAAAATGGCATTTTGCAGACTCACTATTCTCTTCACAGATAATAAAGCCTCAGAATCGCAAATCAAATTGGGTTGGTCCCTGGGTTACTGTGGAGTCTTTTATCCTTATGTTTGTGTAACCTTGAAATGGAACCCTTCCTTTGATGTAGCTGATTTAATGGAAAGGAATCAATTTGTGTGATAAAGACAGCTCCTGATTGGATCATACCTCACAAAAAGGGGTCATCTGACTGGGTTAATCTGCAAGACCTTTTTCATACGTGTAATCTTGACATATATTGAAGAACTTTTCCACTTAGATGAAAAGCAGTCAGATTTTATGATTGATATGTGGTGCCAGGAAATTGATTTTATGACACGTGTTACGACATACTGTCAGTAATACCTTCCCCTTGCGCCATGTGCAAGTGAAACAAATGGATTTTTAATCTATTTTGTAGCCCTGAGTGGCATAAACTAGGCCATGATCAACATGAATTTCATAGGTCTACAAAATAGGAGAGCGTAACAGAATGTAAATGAATTCCAGTGCTTAAATGTACTTTATGAAGCAAACAAAATGATATACAATGTGTCCTAAATCTTTTAATTTTTGTTTTCCCCCAAATGACAGGTACATTCAAGGTGCCAGCTCTGCAAAAGATATGATGATCCTAATTGACAAGTGAGTATGACCATAGTCAGGCTAGCATACTGGTATCTAGTTAGTATGATATTCAACCTACATGTACAAGGCTCAAGTTAGATACAATATGCATGGTACTAGGCAGAAATTTACAAGAAGATTATGGAGTAAAGTATGAGTTTTGGGCACTCATCAGTTTAACAAAAGTAGCTGTAACACATGATTTCCTTGCACAATCATGGTATAAAAACAGCCCTTCTTGTCAATGGGCACATACAATCATATCTGAACACTAAAATCAAAGATGTATATTGACTTCCCAGTTTGTATTGGTTCATTCAGCTTTGAATGGTCGACCTCTTGTGACAGTATGTGCCCTGAGATCGCATTACACCAGAGATAGATCAATGCAACATGGAAGATATAGTCACGGTTTTGTACCGGTCTTTTGATGTTAGCCGCCTCTTTTGCCTGTTACAAGCCAGTTTATGATGCTGAAGCATAAATGCGTAAAGAACATGTCAAAACAGCCTGGTTTGATGATGACATTGTATGGTGAGATGGACACATTTGAAGTACAATCTCAAAGTCTAGTTGAGCAAGTTTTGCTTGTCTGTAATGATTTCATCTCTATTGAGCAGACTAAGATTAAGATTTCAACTGATTTATGTAAAACATACTCTAATATTTCTGTGAATAGTTTTATCAGATTGGTATGTCACTGAATAAAAAGACCCTTGAATGCAAACCAGCCAAAGTTTTGATGACCATCTGTCACCTTCCTCAGGGCAATTCTGACTGGCTCACATTGCACGGCATAGGAGTTGTTCCCAAATGCAAAATATTGTTAATAACTTACCTTGTACACATACAGTAATGGATTGGTATCTGCAATGCAGCCCCAAATGTACAGGAGTGCAATGTGAGCCAGTCAGAATTGCCCTGAAGAAGGTAACAGGCAGTCACCAAAACATCAGCTGAATAAAACGCTTGGTTGTGTAAAATGAGTATTTTTTTTATTAGTATATATATACATTGTGTATATTACTCAATGTTTGTATGGCATTGTTTGCTGTTTTCTGTTGTGCAGTAGTGGCAGTGTTCATGGCCTGACACTCACACTCATCAAGAGGTCCGTACAGGAACTACTCAAGACACTGGGGGAAAATGACTTTGTCAACATGGCATGGGTTAGTATCAACACATTTAAACACACATCCACAATGATTTCTCTTGTTAAGCAAAATATATCATGTTTAAACTCTTTTCCTCAAGGTTGTAATCTAATACAACTTCATTGGAATATTCTTTTGTATACAAGTGTTCTTTAATGATCATACAATGATGCTTCTTCTTTTTGTGCATCAGCTCATTGATACCCATTTGTATTCCCACCAGTTCAATACCGAGGCACATTATGTCAGCTGCTTTGACACCTTTGTCCAGGCCAATGTGCGCAACAAAAAGGTATGTGCATAATTTACTTAAAGCCTGTTTTGTTGTGTAATTTACTTAAAGCCCATCTAGATCTGGAAATAAGAATTTAAGTTGGACAGAAACTAAGTGAAAAGTGTTACCAGTAGTCAACATTTTCCACTTTGATTGTAATTTTGGCGACTATTCTGCATGATATACTACTTTAGTATGCAAAATACCATCTAAAACAGTTACTGTATCTGCTGTACTTTTATTTCAGTGAGGCTGACTGTTGTATGACCTATTGTGAAATGTTCCTGAGGTATTCTTGTAAAGTTTGGCAAAAGTTTTTTTTTTTAATAAGTACGTCCAATAATTTTTTTCAGCCAGAAATCATACCATGCAGTCTTAGCAACTCAGTTGACGCATACAAACTATCATTTTGAAAAAACCTGTTCAGCATATCTGTATGCTCTATTACACCTTTTATTTGCATTCTCTCATTCTATGCTTTCTGTTCTTTCTTGTTTCCATAATGCTTCCTCCTGACAATTTTCCTAGATCTTCATTGATGGTTTAAAACTGATTCAAGCCACTGATCGACATAATTGGAGTGCTGGCCTTGAATTTGGTTTCAAACAATTCCAAAAAGTATGCAACTTTTTTTTTTCTTTTCTTTCATCTGTGATTGATTCTTGTCTATCTAACTTGATGTATAACAGGAAATATATATCCTTTGTTAAAATTCTTAACAGTTTTCCAAAATTGTCCAATTCTAACAAACCTCATTCTAACCCTCATTATTAACAATTGTAGAATTATCAACAACAGTTACCCAGAGCAAAACAAATGTCTTCTCCTAGGTCCACAGCATTGAGACCTTCCAGGGATTTGGTTTACCTTTTATTGCCCACGATCATGATAATGATCATTCTGACATACTCATTTTCACCTGAGCTAAGTGAAGAAAGCCTTTCCCAAGAGCACAAGGTTGGCAACTTGGCAGGACTGGAACCCAGGACCTCTTGGGATTTCAACTAAGAACTTTCAGATTCTGAGTCAACAACCTATTTACCACAAGACCATCTTGCTCCTCATGTATTACAGGAGAAGACATTTTGTTTGTTGTGGTCCTCCATGCATGTGTGTCCTGCATGTTGTGTGTTTGTTTGTCCTGAAGGTTCTGGAAGTTGCTGTGTTGGAGATCGGGGATGGAAACATGTCTGACTTTGGAAAGGGCTTGGAGTTTGCATTCCGAGCTTTTGATGATGTAAGTCTTGCCTTGTGCATGTCTATTGATATGGTGCTGATCACTTTGCAAGTGTCGTGAGTGTAACAATAATCAGCTCTAACAGCAGATATGTGTGTGTTCATGTGTCAAGTGAAATGCTGACTGTCACAGTTATGAAGACCTGCTCTCAGATTCTGTACAGTAACAGTATCCCAGTGTTCTAGCCAGCGTCTGTCTTTCCATCATTTGACAGAATATTGCTGCTTACAATGTAGATGATATTGTACACATTTCCCCTTTTAACATTAGATAAAACAACATATTGTGAGGCAATGACAATTGATCTAGAGCAATAAGATATAAAGTCTAATTACAGTGGTATTAGGTGTTTAGTAATTCTCTCATATATGCCATTATAATAACAGTTACAGCACTGTTTGTATATGTTTCAGTTGGAATTAATATTCTATGATCCTGCTTCTAGTTCAATACAAACTCCACTAGCCAGGGTGCGAGGTGTAACAAGATCATCATGCTTTTCACTGATGGTGGCACAGAGAGGCCTGTGGAGGTGTTTGAGAAGTATAACAAGGACAGAGATGTGAGTTTTGAGTCAAGCAAATGGTAACATGTAAAAATCAGGAAAAACGATTGTGTAATCCTGTATTTATTTTGTAAAAGGAGTTTTCTTTGACAAGTCTACATGAGGTTATGGTGTGCTGAAGTTACAACTTCTCTAAGCAATGATACCCTTGTTTGGTAAATATTCACATAACAGTATAACTATTTCTTTCTAACATGGTGAGAAACATGTTTGAATCCCTTTTGCTACAGATCAGAATATTCACCTATGCAGTTGGGCCACCTGCTTACTCAACCAGTGCACTTAAGTGGATGGCATGTGAAAATAAAGGTTTGTAATTAAAAACTGCACATCCGTCAGATGTGCAGGTGCGCCCTCGAACATCCTTTGTATGAAGTGCAGCTTTCTAAAATATCATGTCTTGCTGCTGTTGACATGGCATGCCTTTGGCATGGAATTCAGTGGGTAAAACAGTTCTCCAAATGCTATATTGAATTTTGCTGATATTTATGATAATGCTACTTTCTCCGGTAAGTTTGCTGGTAACATTACATGTAATAGTCACATTTGTTAATGGCATGTCTATACTGTATGTGCTACATGCTCTGTTTGCTATTTTTAGTTTGAGGAATGACACTACAGCTTGCTGAAAATCAGGCATGGCAGTGAACCCCATATTAAAACAATTTTGCTGCTTTTTTGCACTAATAAACTTAAATTCCATGATTCCTGTTTAATATCAGAAGTTTAAATTTGCCATGAGACTTTTTTAAAATTAATTTTGCACGAATTTGAAGAGATGATTTTGTAACATTAGCTTGTCCCAGGGAAAGATACATCTTTTACAGTACAGAACAAGATTGGCACATATCTTTACCTAATAATTGAGAAAACCCATTAAGTGTTGATTGGAAATCGATCAGCAAATGTTCATGTACCAGAAATCATGACTGAAACCTTCTTTACTGTGTTAGACTCTGTCAAATACCTCAGTCTCAGAAAGGTATCAGACTATTGTTGATTTACAAAATTTATGAAATAATAGTTTTACAACCTAACTTTGCCCTGGGACAGGACCACATAAAGAAAATTAACCACTGCTCTACTGTGCCCATTTCTGTATGACCAAAGCTGATCCTTCTGCCATGTACGCTGTAGGTTATTATGTAGACATTCCAGCTGTCGGAGCCATCAGACAGAAAACTCAGGTGAGCTGGCCGGCTGACTTCTCCACACCCCCACGCTCTCCTACTTCTCTCCCCACTCTCCTCTAAGCTGTCTCTCCTTCTGTCTCACCAATTAGGTTATTTCTTAGAGATTCCAGCAGTGGGGGCCATAAGACAGCAGACACAGGTGAGGGGAGCTAAGGCAGGCGGAGGGGACAGCTTCTTGTTTCTCAGGGACCTGTCAATCATTATCAAGGCTCAGTCTCCACTTCCATCCATTTGCAGGGCTTAAAATACTTTTTTTTTGCATACTTGCATTAGTGCAGGTAACATTGAAAATTACCTGCACCAGACAAATTTTACTTCCAAGTTGCATATATGTGTAAGGAGAGGAAAAAATATTATTCTTGTAAAATTTCTGACAGAACTAAACAAAAAGTTCTTCAACCATAGCACACCATTCTTCAATGCTCCTTTGTGATCAACTTTTTGTACCCCTGGTCACAACAAGAAAAATGGAGTGTGGAGAAACAAATGTGTGTTTTCCTAGTGCCTTGTCAGGGCAGGACGAGTTCTAGGTGGAGATATTGTAGGCTTTGATGAAAAATTCCACTAGTAACTCAATAGTTGGTGGATGGGTTATTATGACGTTGTGACCCCCAGTGTACCACGTTTATTGCATTATGTAGCTTTGCAATAGCTGGCATTTTGTAGGAGCAATACCAATATGTAGCAATGCTACAATGCAACATCAGTGTTCAGCTTAGAATTCGACATGTACATCTGATGTACGATTTTCAACTCTCACAATTTCATTTTTATCCTTGAGTTTCATTTTCGTGTTTAAAGGTGTAGGTTAAGCATTGTTGTTCCTCATATCCCTCTCATTTTCATATTTCTTGCTTTTCCACTTCCCTATCACTTACTTTTCCTTCCCCTTTCCATTTTGTAACCCTCCCCATTATTTGTACTGCTGTAGCACCTCTGCCCCCTATGCCACCAGGTAATATAACAAGTGATGCAGGCTGTCACCTTCCAGGGGGGGTTCTCACCAGGTGAAACTTGGGGGGGGGGGGGGGGGCTGGGAGAAAATTGTCAACTTTATAACCTCTGAAATGCCATTTCCTTCATTTTGAGAGCCAAATTTTGTTAAGACTTAATTTTATCTCCAGAAGTTCCAGCTCTTCTTTCAAGCCAAAAGTTATTATTTCTGAATCTAAATCAGGTTTCATTACCACAGAACTGATAGAAAAGGGTAAAAACAACACAAAATCGCTCCCATTATGCTGGCTGAAAAACAGTATAAGGGGGCAAAATCACATTTTAGGGACCCCCTAAGGCTCATCTGCACTGGTGAGAACCCTGCCTTCATGTGATTGATGCACGATATACAATGTACATCACACATATGCCTGCTGCCTGCCTCCTGTTGATTATGTTTCGTAACGATGATTGTTAGTTATAGGATTGAAAATTAAGATTTGCTTAAACATTTTTATCAATTGCCATCAGCACTAGCTTTCATAATTGGGTGGCCTGAAATGATATAAAAAATAATGACAAAGTTGTGTGACAATAAAACATAGATGAAGCATAATTTGATGGATCTAATTTTTTATACACTGTAACTGCCAGTTAAAGTGACTAAAAACTGTAACTGGCAATTGTCAACTATGGCTATATGATTATTATTTGTTTTCTTTACATCCCAGTACCTTAAAGCATCAGATCCTTTAATCTAAGTTAGTTATAAAGTTACCCTACATCTTCCATATGATAAATTTTCATAGGATGCTTTTCTAACTTTTCTCTGTTTGTAGGACTATGTGGCAGTGCTGAGTAGACCCATGGTGTTATCTGGGGAAAAACAGTTCATGTGGGACAAACATCTACCTGGATGCTATGGTCAGACATTCATTTGATAGTGTTGACAAGTGTTGTGCATACATGTATATAAAATTTCCGTAACTCCGATCTGCTTGCAGTAGAAATCCCAATCAGAGACTTTAATCATGATACTGTTAATGTGTTAAAGTCCTTTTACAAATCCTCAATTTCAAGTTGATTGATCTAAAGTGACATAAATCAAGATTCAAATGTTCTGACTGTCTTTTAAGTAAAATTTACAGACCTCATGGCAACAAAATGCCTCACTGGACCATTTACTGTACCCATAATAAAATGTAATCAAGTTGTATCTTATTAATACATTTTATGGGGTACATAACCATACTGACAATAACTTGTTGATCTCTAGTGAGAGATTGTAGGTACTATAGTTATCTGTTATATTACATTTGCAGATTTGATATTCAGTTATTGATAAAGTTGTCAACTTTGTAGTCTTCTTTATAGGAATGTGTCATTTGTAAGATACTTGTAAGCAGTCTAATTCCAGTACTTGTTAAACTTCTTGATATTCCAATTCTAGGGCATGGGCATGATGACAACCATCACTCTTCCCGTCTACAACAAGTCAGAAGGAGTGAGTAGATAACTTCATTTTTTTTCTCTAAAAAAAGCCAGATAGTTAAAAATAGATACATTAGAAACATAAAATCATAGTCATATTCTTGCCACTGGTTCTCAAAATAGATAGACGTCAGTACTGAAGATTTTGTAAAATGAGACTTGTATTGTCTTCTCATATAAGTCCATGTCTGGTTTTAGATACTTGAACAAAACATCTAGTACATCTACAAAATACCTGTTAATATAGTGCTAAGCCTTGCACTGTCCTTTTACACAATGATTGGTACAACTAAAAGTCTATTGAATTAAAAGTCCAGTAATTATTTATAACTAAAGGCTTTTCTGTATTATGGAGGGAAAGAAAAGTGCTTGAAATGAGAGGTGTATTTTCATTGTTTCATTTTCAACAGCCGAAAACTAGCAGACATAACTGTAGTACATGATCTAAACTGTGCATGTTAAATAGTGTTGGCTGTTCCTTATTTCCTCTTCCATGAAGCAAACAGTGAGTTATGGAAATTCTTATTCCGTAAGTAGCTTGGTGGTAGATGTTGTGTTAGACAGCTGGCCTTGTCACTGTGGTAAGGTCTCTGGTCTGTGGCTGACTGTATGTATCTGTGACCTGATGGGAAGTGTACTGTGTGCCTTTCTGAGATGTGATGCAGTGATGTGGTGGCTGTACTGCGCTTGCAGCAATGTCAAATAACTCTAGGATAATCATTTCTTAACTTCAGTCATATTCTTTCAATGCCAGATTGTATTGTTAAATGTATATCTAATAACTGTTGTCTTACAGTCAATTACTTAAATTTCCACCTGATTGATGTTGCAGGACTTAGTTGTAAGTTAAAAGAAAATATATGCATAGAGAAAAATTAAAGATCTAAATGTTGTTAAGGATCAAGTGTAGGAAACCAACTTGTCACATGCAGCTCAGAAGTTAGCTAGCATTGTAATGTAACTAGCTCTCTGGAAACTAAGATGTACCAGTATATCATACTTTGATGAATTTTTTTCCCAGTCTCACTTTCTTGCAAAATCTTTTTTCCAACGGCAGGAGCATTATCTGAATTTTTAACAATCCCTAACAGTAGGATATTACTTGTAATGATCAGGTGGTGAACATCATTTACAAAATGTAATATTTATAGAGAGATTAAAGTCTAACTTAATGTCGACATTTAAATTGACACAATCATATAGATATTTCTTATCATATGTTTAATTCACAGTAATCACAGTTTATAAGTACTTAATTGTAATTACGGTATATCAGTATATTATCAGAAGATTAGAAAGTTGCCAATGTCTTCCATAGATCATTATCACATAAAATGCTATCAGTGTCATTTGCATTGGTTGTATCAAATGCAACATTATTTCTCAAACATTCAAAGATTCATAGATAGGGTATCTGTGAAATGTGTTTGGGAGAAAAGCAGTTAACAGTTTCATAAACTTTGTATTCAGTTTGTTACCAGGAATAAACATTTCTAGCATTGCAAGTAGCTTAAGATGCCATCATGCTTACAACTTAGTACACAATGTAATCATTATGGTGCTGTAGTTAAACACTTGCTTGTAATTTTTTATCAAACGTGTTTGTCTTGATGTGCGTGTCAGAGCCAGGAGATTCTAGGAGTCATGGGCACGGACATCACACTGGCACAGATCACTAAATTCAACCCCAACAGGGAGGTAAACACACTCCTACTTATCTAGTAGCATTATGGTAGGTCTCTTTTGTTTTAAAGACATCCAATGCAATTTTTGAAGAGCATATACATTGTAGATGTTACAGTAAGATATAGTATTGAAGAGTTCACATTTGTGAGTATAATATCTTGGAAAGCCCCGACGTTATTCCACCCATAGTTTCAGCACCAAGGAGAGGTCCCTTGAACAAAGCAAATAGTTGCTTGGCACATATAACTCAGACAAACAGATAAAATGAATGCAAGCTTGAGGATTTCTAAGTACTTTGTGCTCTACTGAAGTACATGGCTTTAAAGGTTTCCTATTTGACACAGACTTGGTTGAAATCAGTAATGTACATATTAATATTTTTGATATCACAGGATGCTGATGACTTTCTGTTTTGCAGGTTGGTCCCACTGGGTATACTTTTGCCATCAACCCTAATGGTTACATACTCTTCCACCCCAGTCTCAAAAGCCAGGTGAGGATACATGCCTATCACTGATAGCTTTACTTTACGGTACTGGACTTTACCGTTATATAGAAGGCAAGAGATCTAACAAAATCAATGTTCTGTCCAAAACTAACAACATTTAATTGTAGATTAACAAAGGAACAGAGGTACCTTGTTTGATATCCTTACAATGTTTCATTTTTGTATAACTTATGTTGCATTTTGTTCAGTATGCAAATAGTAGAATAGTTTTTTTTGTTGCCCCAAGTTTTCATAACTCATCAGTTGCAGTTCATTTTTGTTGTTACAGGAGCAAACTTATACGTCGGTGAGTCTCCAACAGTGTTGTCCACGTTGACTATTTAGTTTTAAGAGCTGTTGCTCCATTCCACAAATTCCCACATTTCATAGCTGTAACAGGTTTGTGCATTTTATCCCATCAAAGCAGTAAATTAAAATGCTTTTTTGCATGTCTGCAGCAATCATATTTCGTACATGCAACACTTTCATGTCATCAGCATATCTTTATATTGCTTTTATGTTCCATCTAAATGCATACTGCTTTGCATGCTTTACACTTTTGACTTCATTTTCAGTTTACTGAGAAAGCGTTGCTTGAGTATAGGGTGAGTCTGCCTGGACCATGCTATGATGGTGATCTAACCAAATCAGCCGCTAATAACACTTATTAATTGATTCTACTTGATTTCTACAGGAATAACACAGATCAACTAACACTATGATATATTTAAATGTTTGTTGTTGCTATTGATGTGATGTGATGATTCTGATATCTACATGTACTGATTTTGTTATAGATTAGACCTCCATGTTAACTTATTGCACCAGTGATGTTGCTGTGAAGTTGCTGTGACGTTGTGATGTAAACCACCAACAACTAACACCTCACTGATTTCAACTGATTTCTAAATGATAATAAATAGTAACCTTAATATCACAACTAAGTAACACTTGTGAGTGTTTAACTAATTATGTTTGATGTTTACATATTTGTTTTTGGAAGAAACTTTAATTCCTTAAATTGACAATCACTGTATGTTTGCCTTGTGTGTCTATGTTTGCAGTCTAATATTTCACTATACTACAATATATTATATATAATAAAAGAACTGTATTTGGGAAAGGCCTTGTGTGATTAAGATATTTTCAGGTTGTGGCCACTGTGTATGTGTGTCTGTGTGTGTTTGTGTGTGTGTACATTGTATGGTGTATGTATGCATGTATTGTTGGTGTGTGGTGTGGACAGGTTGCCCTTTTCCACATCTTGTCTTAGACAAGCCAATGCAATGAAAGTCAGCTGGCATTTTGTCCTTCTGCACCATCCTTTCAGATAGAATGCTAACTAATTAAATGTTTATATGTTAATGTGAGGTAAAAGAATCAGTCTGTTGGACTGACGGACACCAGAAAGGGAACAGTCGTTGTTATCACGATTAGGTATTTTTGTCACCCGGGCTGATTTTTTAACTCCCAGTTTTAAAAAATCTGGGGCTCATTTTTCAACCTAAGCATAAAACAGCACCTGTCAGACCAGATGAAGGAGGAAGGAGAGGTTTTGACATCTTTTCCTTGACACAAACGTTGTGCACTTTGCCAACATTTTTCCCCATAGACTGAGATTTTTATGGAAGGAATATTGATCATTAAATGGATCCCAGAAGGTTTCTCTTTTGCAACAGACAACAACAAAGGTTTGCTGCTAAAACCCCCATGTAGTTGCACAAATTATGTATCAAAAACTTTACAGTTTATACATTCTTTTTTCTACAGCTGGGTTACTTGTCGGAGCCACCTAATGTTGATTTCCTTGAGGTGGAACCAGACAACCCCAGTAAGGAAGATGTGAGTATGACAGAATAAGTTCTTGTGCACCTGGACTACTATCTCTTCACATCTTAAGTCATTAAAAGCACCCAAAGCAATTTCAGGGGGACTAAACTGGATTTTCAGAGTCCATTTTCTGGTTATTTTTTTTATGTAGTAAGTTGAATTGATACTATAGCATACTGATATCTGTTAGGCAAAAATGTGATGTTACTGATGGGAAATGGTGGCTTCTTTTGTATTATAGGCTGGTTCTAGCTATTTATTTGTGGTACAAAAAAACTACTTTTGTGGCTGCTGCAAATGCTTTAAATATGAAATAATAAAGAAAATGCAATTAATTAATTCTGTATATCTTCAGGTGAGAAAAAACATGATTGATCGAATGTCGGGAGCGGTGACTATTGAGACTTTTGTCAGGTCACAAGATGAGGTGAGACATTTTGTATTTATTATCCAGCAGGTTAGTTATTATCTATCAGCCATCTTTTATAGGTCAGTAGTGTTAGCAGACACAACCATTATGTATTATACATCCTAACGACAATTTCAGCACCAAGGACAGGACACTTGTACATTGCAACTTTACCAAATACAGTGCAATTTCATGAAATACAGAGCAATTTTACCACATACTGTGCAATTTTACCATTCTTAGTGCATTTTTACCAAATATAGTGCAATTTTACCAAAGTAGAGAACAATCCATTGTAGGTACAATATCTGAGTCATTCTGACATACATTGTAAGTTGGTGTAATGCCAAAGAAAGTCTCAATCATTTGTATGTGTAAGTTCATTTTCTATGTTTCAGTCAGAACATTTTTATGCATGACATAATTGTATTAACTTTGTGTTTGTTTGCAGAGATACGTGGACCTTGTGAACAGGACATACATCTATGGTCCCATGAACAGCACCATATTCAGGTAGGCAGTCCGTACTTGCCTTGAACTAAATGCATGGGTGAACTCCAGCTAACTCCTGGTAATTTCTCCCCCAGTACCTCTGCAGCAGCATTTGTGTGTTGTCCAGGATGTGTGCAGGCACAGACCCCGGCAGTGTTCCCTGTGCATGGCTGCAACCGGCTGGTGTAGGCAACCCGTGTGTCGTCAGTGGAAGTGTTGTACATGTGTGCCCTGTAATGACTTCTTCCCTTTAGGCCCCAATTTCTCTGTCAGAACAGGCCCCACTGTGTGTTGTCATCCTCCCTCTAAAACAGTGCTACCCTGTAGAGATGCTGCAACAGGCATCCCTATTCCTCAAAATTGTCAACTCTGTAACTTGCTGCATGACTCAGTTCCCTTAGAATTAGTTCCTTGCATGTTTGGCGTAATAAACTAAAAAAAAAAGAGAAGTGTCCGTGGTGCCCCTCCCCAATTGACGGTGAGCTAAAAGAATTGACTTGTATTTTGTTCTCACCTCTACCATGTTAAAATGCCATTAATTTGCAATGAACATCAACGGCAAAGAGGGATATGTAGGTATGTACACAAGTCATTAGACTTTAACCTGCTCTCAGAGCTGAGGCTATTTCAGGAGGAACCAGGATAAGATGTCATTTATAAAGTCACAGTCTCCCCAGAGTTTTCTCAGCATACATGACTAAGGCTCCTCCTGAAATAGCCTCTCATATCCCAAAGCAAACAACAAAGGCATTCATTGTTTGCTGTTCCACAATCCAAGCTCTGATCCCAAAAGTAGTGGCATTATTATAAAGCCCAATTCTATCTCAGCCTAACAGTTTTTTTCACTTTGTTTTGGATTCTTGCCCTGATAGAACTTTATCCTTGCCAGACCATTGGTGTACAGACTTTGCTGCAGTGGTTTCTCCCTCTTAGATTTATCCTTGATTATGTTTGAATAAAGTACTAGGTTCTATTACCTGTTATGTCCTGTGTCCATCTCTATGTGTGATATTACTGAATGGATGTCTGTGCTCCCTTCCTTGTCCCACCTAAGAGTACATGATGAGTAAATCTAACCATGTCTGTCACCCTTACATGTAGTTACTAACAAGTTGAATGTGAATCGTACTTGCTATTAACTAACTCAGAGATAGCACCTGTCCATATATGTAATACATATAATTCTTATTGAACAAGCTCTGAACCTTGTTGATAGAAATGTTGATAACAAGAAGCATTTTTGGTCTAATCAGGCCAACTATGTATAAGACTTTTCTGATTGAGACTTCAATTCAAGTTACAAAATAAAACATACAAAAGAGAAGCTACAAATGTAGTTCTACTGGAATTCATAGCATTGTGGTTTATAAGTAAATGTACATCTGAATCTATTAACTTGAAATGATACTTAGGTACACAGTATTTGCTTGCATAGACTTAGTGTTTGTTGCAGTGTTACAAACTTACTTAAAGTACATGTACATACAGTAATTGTTCAAACTCATAGTAACTGGGGATTTGTTATATTTCTGAGACTTACAATACTTCAGACAACTGTATATGTTTATAATTGTGTTCATTGTATGTGTTTGTGCCTTTGCCAAATTGAGTATGGTTTCACTAGTCAACTGACTTTGGATAACCTGAGACCATTTTGTTAACTTAAGTTGCTTAGAAAATCCTGGTTCCTTATGGTAGACTTTTGTTCCCAAAGTTCATCCCATATACAATAAAAGGAAGAATTTTGTAAGACAGAAATTATCATGTTTCCTTGTATCTGCATGAAGGTATCTTACCAGCTGCTTTGCAAGGCTTGACAAATGAACATGCAATGCTTACATGGTAGAAGATATAATTTTGTTATAATTTGATTCTAACTATGATCAGTACATTCTGCCTATGTCGGATGTGCTCTTTTTATGATGGTGTCATTTAGGATGGCAGTATGCCTTGCCCTCGTACATGGTCTATTATACCATAAAAGGGCCATGCCTCCTATTTTATGGCAATAGGCCATTGCTGCCATGCTTTGATAATTTGACTGTGTACTCCATATGGAGTCCCAATGACCAATGCAAATAATGATGTTTCATTTTCCACCACTTCATGGATTAATAGTCAATGATTAGCCTTGTTACTTTATCAAACATATTTGGATTGAAAGCTGTGCATTAATGTTGACTTTATATTTCACTTTTTGCAGCCTTGGATTGGTGCTGCCAGAATACAGACAGAAGAGGATAGAAGTGGAGAACATTGACATACCAACAGGTACATACAGAGTTAACCTTTAGGAAAGCCTTTCTAAAGCCTCGGTCACAACCCACCGTACATGCTTTTTCTCCGTACGTTTTTTGGGAGGCTACGTCTGCTACGTTTTTTCTGAAAACGTGGGGAAGGAGTGGCGTCTACGCACGTCACTCGCACGGTTGGCAAAGTGTAAGAGTGTGGCCTGCACGCCAAGTCTGGTTGTAAGCGGTTGCGTGCATCGTACGTTGCGCAAGTGGTAAGTGAGCTGTACGTGCTTACAACGTACGATCTCTGTGCGATTGCAACTTTACCACAAGGAGGCTGTACTCACACGTTCTTCTTCCGCACGACATGTACGGGGCACGCGCGTCGCTCGTACTCGCATGCACGGGTGGTGAATCTGTAGACCGCACGTTTTGCAAGTTTTACATGCACTTACAAGTTCTACGGCGTGTCTGCGTACTCCCAAATCCGTAGGATTCGGTACGGAGGCGGTACTCACCACGCACGGATACCCTACGTTTTCCCACGTTTTTGCACGTAGACAGCATTCATAAGCACGTGCGGCAGGTTGTGACCGTAGCATAACTTATCGTTTGTCTCTCGGAGAAGAAAGGAGCATATTCACATTTTGGGATACAACTGTTTAGTTACACCATGTATACCAAGGCAGTTTAATCACAAGGTTTGGTTGCACTGAGAAGTATAAGATTGTGACACATGTTGTTTCATAAAGGCATAGAGGTGTGTATCATTCACAAATTTCAGCTGGTCTGTTGTGGTGTTAAAATCTCTGCTTGATATGCAGCAGTAGAATTCTGGTCTCCATGCATAAACTTCAGTACTGTTGGCTGTCTTTTATCCAGGTCGTGATTACTTACAAACACAGCGCTCTGCACTCTTCATTGCACCATGGTAAGTGTTAAAGACTTCACCTAATGCCCATACACACCGCACATCACAGTCTTCTAGTATATAACACCTCAGAAAAGTACTTGAAATTTTTCTTTATGTGTTTTTCTGGATGTTGCAGGATCCGGTGATCTTTGACTGTTGCAAGTTCAATGTAGAAATAATCTTCAACTATATACATTAAATTCTTTCCATTATTTCCCCATGTGTTGGAGAGCAACATCTTACACTAAACACTTGCACGATATTGTAGGTCCTAGAATGTAAATCTGAATGAAAGCAACTGAGATGCATACTAATGATTCTGATCTCTACAGGAATTTCTGTGATGATGTCCTGACAAATTCCAGCCATGCTGACTTCCTGCAGGACATCTTGGAAAAACTGAGCGGATTTGACTTCCCAGCTGAATGTTAGTAGTAGTAGTGGTGGTATCCAGGATTAGATTATACTGCTGCTGTTAGTTTGTGTAATATTATACATGTAGTTAATTGAATGGATTGGTTCCCCCATAGCAATGAATATCACTAAACCTTGCACAAATGGTGTGGTAACACACTCAATCGATGTCTCTATCTGGAACTTAATAAATTTTTTTTTCTTTTAAATGGAGGCATGCAAGCATGTCAGCAGAAAGTACTGTGCCTAGTATGCAAAACCTATTATACCTTGTGCATATTTGGAAGAACACCTGGTTTAACCGTTGCATTCACATATTTAAGGATGACATTCCATAGTTCAATTCTATACTTTTCAATTGAAAAGATATTGTCTGCAACAGGTAAATTTCTGGTGTAACATTTACCAAGCATTCGACAGAAACCGTGAAAAATCCACTGGCAGGTTTTATACAGGCACAGTACATTCTACCGACATGCTAAGCATGCATGGAGTGTAGTCTTGAAAACTGCTAACTAGAAGTCAATTTGGGATACTACAGTGCAGGTAATTAATTGCTGTGTCTTTTCTGCCCAGGTGATGAGCCCAGACTGAAGCACTTGCTCCTAGACACAGTTGTCACCGAAAGACTGGCAGAATTCTGGAATAACAAAGCTGTAGACTTCAAGAGGTAATAACAAGGGAGGAACAGCTATTCTCATGTGACACTTTCAAGAAGAGAATCATCATTTGATACGTTGGATTTAATAGTTTTGTCTTCTTTGTTTCGCATGTTGTGTTTGTATCATACTCATTATAGTTTTGTCTCTTTTGTGCCTTTTTCTGTCATTGTGATTTCTTAAGTTCTGCATGTTTTTTTGATTGATTGATTCATTTGTTTTTGCTTGCAGTCAAGATATAGAGGCATGCCGTAATACCGGTAATACATGTAATGCTACATGTAGCAATGCTCGATATAATGCAAGGTATGTCTTGAACATGACCACTGGATCAGTTACTGTGCTAACCATAAATAGAAAAAGTTAAGAGTATGCAATATATCCTCCTGTTGTTTAATAGTAATACCGGTAGTTCCTGTATAACAACCCTTTTCTGATTAAGAAAATAAGCTCTTGGCATCCAAAAGATCATTAAGTCACAGAGTCATTTTTGAGCTCAATTTATTTCTCTCCACAACATTATTTTGTGATATTTTTATCCAGTAATGATTATTTTCAATCAAATTTTGTTGCATCTATGCAGTCACAGTCATTGTCTTTCACTTTTCTACAGTGATGGCATCATGGCGACTTTTGTATCAACAGAAGGTGGAATCACCAGGGTCTTCCCAGAGAGGTGAGACAAATACCCACATCCTATCCAGTATTCAGGTTTTTTTTTGGAGCCTCTACCAGGCTTCAGACAGTTTGAAAGAGCAGAAATTGGCCAACATGCCATGGTCAACTTGGTCCAATAAAAGAGTGCAGTTGCCACCTCTTGAAGTGTTCAGGTTTTTTTTGTAGCCTCTACCAGGCTTCAGACAACTGGAAAGAGTAGAAATTGGCAAAAAAAACAGATAAAATGCCAGGGGAGTTGGTTCGCTAAAGGAGTACAGTTGCCATCTCCTGAAGCCAATTGAAGCTCGCTGGCATATGTTCTTTGAGGTGCAATAATCTGCTAATTGCATTATAATATGTGCCAAGTGGTGAAGTATTCTTCGATTGCTTTGCAATTAGACTATGGCAGAAAGTGACACATGTACTTCTTTAACCAACTCCCCTGGCATATCATCCGTCTATTTGGCCAATTTTTAGTCTTCAGTCACTTCTGAAGCCTGGTACAAGCTACATGTATGTTACTACAGTCACTACAATTTTTGCTTAACATTCTTCTTCGATTATTAACACTTTGAAAAAGCCATCAGGTCACATGTGCAATTGTTTACTGTTTCCAGTGAATGTCAAGACTTTGAGGACAAGAGGGACACTTGGCAGCAGACCTTCTTCAGGAGGTCCCTCGACAACGATTACTTCATCTACTCAGTGCCTTACAATTCTGGTAAGATACAATGATATATTTTAATCACATCTACACACATAAAGAATGGCTAAATGTACATTGTAATGACTGAACCAGAAAGCTATAGATTTGGATGGAATTTTGGTTATTTTATAAAACCAACGTTTGAAAGAGGTGGTTTAGGGTTCTTGCCCAGAAGACATGTCAAAACATACAACACATACATTTTGTATATTGATGTTGTATTTATGGGGTCCAAGCTGACAGTACATTTGTGTTCATAAGTTAGAGTGGATTAAAAAATGTGATTCACAGAATTTCTTGCTTGTTTTCATGTCAAAATATGGATTGACCGCTAAAAACAATGAAAATGTGGTAAGAAATTATGGAGGCGACTCATTTTCTATGTTACAAACACTACCAAATATAATATAGTCACTGACCCAATGACTTCATTCCCTCCCCAGACCATCAGAACTGGCCAGTGAACTACACCATCATGGCCACCTCATCTGTAACTCTCAATGATATGGGCGGTATCAAACCAGCAGGTATCACTATTATCTATTTCACATACATGTACAGAAACATCATGGCAAGTCCAGACATGCTGCTGGCTGTCATGATGGGACTTACATGTACATATACATGTACTGGATTAGGAAAATTGCCATCAATGTTTAACTTTTGTTGTGACTGAATGACATATGCACAAGGAATTGCTACTCAAGATAGTCACTGATGAAAAGAAGTGGATGCTGCTTGAAATGCCTGACAGTTTTCAGAAGTTTTATCCAGTTGCTTGATTAGTAACAATTCCTTGTGTATCTCATTAGCTGGATACCTAGGATTGGTCGATGAATGGCATGTGTTTCTTTTTCCAGTTGTTGGAGTGAAGCTTGACCCAGAAATCATACTCGGCACTATGTTGCACATCACAGATCAGGTACAGAATTATACTGCATGTTTCTTGGGGGGGGGGCTGTTATGTACTCAAGATAAGGCACACTGCAGATGTATTTCACAATTATGGATTTTAAGTTTATTTATTTATTTTCCGTCATATTTATACAGAGTTTCCCACTCATTTATGACACTGCTTTTCAGTGGGGCTCTGTATTACACAAATAAACAAAATACATAAAGTCATGTACAAACTATGAAATTAAGATACAATAAATAATGATAATGACAATGATAATAAATAAAAATTGGCAACTAAACAATAACTGTTACAATAAATCATCATCATCCAGCTGCAGAGCAGCTGACTAAAATAATAAAAATGATAACAGAAATGTACAAATTCATAGTCCGGTCTGTTCCAATTTGGAATATGATTACAAATAACAAGCAATTTTTCCTAGTTTATCTTCAGACTATATATATTATGGTGATATTATCATTTGTATGTTTGGCTTCATTTTGTTCAGTCTTTATTTCTTTATTTGGTTTTTACAGAACAATACGGAGGGGAATACAACACAGGTGATTTCTCACCTCTTAATGTTGTCTCTCAAGCAGACATACAAATTCAATTATTGACAATTATATTAACTACATAATTATGTACAGTTCACAACAATCAAAATGCAGTACTATACAAAATTCAAAATACAAAGCAAAGAAAATATGATAAGAGATCCGAGCAGATTAACACGACCTTGTGGCAATACAGGACACAGCAGCTGCAGAATGATATCCAAGTATATGGAGTGTCAAAAATTGTCAACCACACTGAACCTGTTATGTAAGTGATTCAACAACTGCCATGTAAACACAAGCAAGTGTTGAGGCTGGGAGACACTAAGGCCTGGGGCTCTCAGGTTGGCGTCTAGTCTATTCCAAATACATGCAAGTCTGGGAATATACGAGGAAGCAAACTGTTGGGTTTTAGTTCTGAAAGGAGTCATCATGACATCACAGTCACTGTAACTTATTGCTATTAATTGCATCTACTGTACTATACAGTGTCCTTTGGGACAATCCTGCTCAGATGTTATCAGGAGTTGCAGAGACAGTGAGGTATGTCCTCATACTTGTAGCTTAGTATACTTGTGTCAATGAAGGTTAGACTGGTAATGAGATACAACATGTACCACATAATACAATAGGTGAAATGAGGTTTTTGGATAAAATTACATGTTCAAGTACAGATCCCCTTAGTCACTGACAAAAGTAGTGAATGCTACTTGAAACGCCAGACAATTTTCAAAATCTATCCAGTTGCTTGAGTAACAATTTCCTTGTGTATGCTTAGTATATTTGCTTTATTTGTAGCAAATTAATGGTAAATTTAGTGCCAAAGACGCTGTCTAAAGGTTTGTTTTGTCATAAAAAAATTCTTTTTCTGTCCTAGAACCTCCTCTGTGTCCTGCTGGATGATGGTGGGTTCATCGTCACCACTAATCAGGATGATCAAGTGGGAGATGTAAGTTAGGATCAACAGACAACTCTGTTGAAGATATTAGATTGTTACCCTTCTTCACCACGTCTGTCTCCTCAATCACTCTTTTTATTGTCAGTCTGCAGGACAAGTATTTAAGACTTTTAGTGTCATGTTGTTGTATTTTAACCAGTGTATTGGCCGAATGGGTTGAGTGTTTGCCTTGCATTTGGTAACATCTGGGAAAGAGTATGGGAGCTGTGTGGACCAAGGGCTACAGAAACAGAGATGCGCACCGACCTATGCACCATACGTGCAGGAAGTAACGTTGTATTTTGAATACTTTTGCCAAATATATTTTTAGGACATCACTTGTCACCACATAGTCTTCATGCAATCCCATTCTCATAGAAATGTAAATTTTCCTGTACACCACTAGAGTATAGAATGTTATGAGTATAGAATGTTATGAGTTATGAGTTCATGACAGTTTTCAGAACATTAGGCCACACCAAGTAAATTTTATGGATGACGTCCACACGCGCATTGATTTGGGCCTCTTCCTAGAAAAAAAAACAAGGAATTTCGCTTCCTGTAACTATGACCAAAGAGTCACGACAGTGCCGCAAATCATCAGATTGACGTGAAACCCGTAATGCAAAGAAAGTGTCTATTGACAGGACCATCCTGTCAATAACAGAAAATTTTTCACTGTCCACTGTTCCACCTGATTTATTGCTGTTTTGATGATGAAAAAAAGACTTCTTGCTTGTTACACTGTGTCACCTCATTCAATTTGTGTCCTAACATTTGTCGTCTCTTAGTATATTTCTAATCTAGGCATCTTGTTTTTTAGGGCCCTTCTTGTTTTTGTTTTTTTTGCCCTCTCGCAGTAGATTTAGGGTCTCCAAAGGACGTCATCCATAAAATTTACTTGGTGTGGCCTTAAAGTATTCTGCCCTTTGCCTCAGGTTGGCAGGTTCTTTGGTGAGGTAGATGGACACCTGATGAGTGAGATGTACAATCAGAGGGTGTACAGGAGGTTTGTAACACAATTTATCATGTTCTACCAGCCACACAGTTATCCATGTAAAAAAAACCCAGCTAGATATATGGCTGTACATATGATAATTTTATCACTAAACCTATGACTTTACATACTTCCACTACCCAACAGATACAATATGAAGGTTTTATTGCTCGTAATCCTATAAAATGACACTTCATTTTCCACGATTGATGATGATTACACTGTTCTGCACAACTTGGAATTGGTTTTGGGCCATAAAAGAAGATATGAGTATCATCTGATATCAAGTTATCCAGGAGATTTGTGGCATTTGCTTTAAGTCAACTCATCATATCTAACAATATGTTGTTGGATGTCTAATTATTTGATGTTACGCCTTATGTCACAGGGAGGAGGCATATGATTTTCAGGCCTCGTGTAAAAAAGAGCAGCCAAAAGTTGCCAGTGCAGGATCCAGGGTATCTTTTGTGGTGAGTCTTAAACTATACATGTAAACCTCCCGTAGATGATGGTGTTAACAGAAACAGAAATGAGATAAGGTTGTACATACACCTGTTAATCACAATTACTGACACTCTATTCAATGTTAAATGTTACATGTACCTATCGTATATTAAACAATCAAGTACAGTTGTATGATGTAAGTGTATGAGTTTTGCTATTAGATTTATTGTGTGAACCAATATTGGTTCATCAAAGTTCTATGCATGGTTATCAAGCCTAAGATCAGTAAAGATTCTAGTTGTAAAATGTAAACAACACTCAGCATTTGAAGATTCTGACTATGTAAAACTATGTGTAACCCTTTAGCCAAGACTGAACCTTGCAGACGCCCTCAACCTTCAGTGGTGGACTACTAACGCAGCATGGTTTGCACATCCATTTTCATATGATTATTGCTTTGAAATTTTGTAATGTAATTTTGTGCTCGTGTAACCTTTAGTATGTCATGCTAATAATGCTATTATACATGTGTAGCTTGAAAATTGCACAATTTTATTCTCTTTTGCAGGGCATATCTACAGCAGAATGTCTATGGGTAATTTGTTTACACTTACATTTACCGTAATGATTGTTGGTTATGATTAGAAAGATTTTAGTACCAAATATACTGCTTATTCTTCTCATTCATAACAGTTTTACAGGCCAGTAATATCATATGAATAATACAAAATTCATTAAGCTGTACTATGTACTAAAAATTCCATAATGATAGACAGATATTTTGATGTGAAACACTTTCAGCACCAAGGACATGCATGGTTATCTCTTGCTGATCAAATGAGTTCTACATGACTTTTGTCCCCATTAATCAATTCTTACCATGTGTGTTTGCTTTCCTCCTACAGAATCCTGTTCTCATCAAGCTCAAGTAAGTACAAATCTCATGTTTCAAAGGATGTTGTTGGAAGTTAGAAGAAGAAGATATTGACCAAAAATAAACTTTTTTCTCATTTTGTAGTTCACCAACTCAGATGAAATTTCAACTTTAGTGTAAGAGGATATTGTTTACTTTCCTAACCCCTTGATTCCCCCTAGCTATGGCTGAGGAGTTGGGTGAAGAGGGAAGCATAGATGAGAATGTGAGCTGTGTGAGGTTGCAGCATGAGTACTACCTTGGACCTACTACCTATCAATATTGGTCTGATGACTGCGGAAACTGCTCCAGGTACATACCAGCTTCTTTTTTTATTTTTACCTCTATCTTCAGAGAAGGAAAATATATTGCTTTTGCTCCGTTTCTTCTTTTTCTTCATACACGTCAGTGACCTGGACCAGATGTCTGTCATCATAGTAACTGGTGCTGTAGCAGACACCCTGTGGTATTGGGTTACATTATGTAGCAATTTGCTGGACAGGGTTGGAGGGGCTGGTCACCATATTAGATGAATGTGTTTGTGTAAGATTGATTATTACCAGCAGTAGTTAAATTTAAACATTATGCATTAGATTTTTACATTTCAAACGTAACTTTTTTATTTTCTCATACATGTACCTAATTAAATTTTTTTTACCGGTAATAAAATGAGTGCCGTTATGTGTGTTTCAGAAAAATGACAGTACGACAGCTGAGGTACAGCAACCTGCTGCTGGTGGTGGCTGACCCCGTGTGTGACAGCTGTAACAACACACCTGTCATCCAGGAACCTCAGAAGAATATCCTTCAACTTTGGGGCAGGAGATTTTGCCTCGTTTTGCCTTGTTTTGTTTTGCCATGATTAAAGTATGTCTTCCACTTGCTTATGACATTTCAATGGTGACAAACAAAATCACTAACAATACTTTGCTACTTTGATATATTCTCATACTTGGACATTGGGGAAAATGGTTGAAAATTACAATTTGCTATTGTAACAAGAACTGATGTTGGCCTTTTCTGGCTATCATTATCTGCTAGAAATATAGCAATTAGGTGGGATCAGTGTCAGAAACAATGTTTTGAGGGCATGAATTTATTATAATGATTTTACTTCGTGGTAGAACAAGTCTGACCTTAAGATCACCACAGTATTTTCTGATATGGGTAAGTTGCCTACAACAGTTGTATCATCATCATCATCATCCACTGTGGTCTGCGTCTACAGTCGTGTGGAATGTCCTGTAGCCACATTCAGTCTTTCTTTCTTTCAGTTATATCATGGTGGGCAGAATATAACAAATCTGCTTATTTTTTTATCTTTTGGAACTATAGAATTCAGGTTGTTCAGGTTGATGGCATAACATCAAATTCTCTGTGTCGGGATTATATGTGATTATTTCCTTAACACTGTCACCAAATAATCCAGATCAATGTCACGTAACGCCAAGGTACAGGAGAGGCCCTGAAAAGTGTTATGACCACCATCCAGAGGTAAGTATTCTCACCTGACTCATACATGTATATACTGGTGAACATTGTGTATTATATAAGCTCTGGAGTTTTGAAATGCCAGATTTCTTGTAAAACGATAAGAGTATTATTATATATAGTGGTTTATTGTCAACTCAAAAATTGTCCACAGTTTGCAGCCACGTGCATTCCTGAATTGTTGAAAGGCCATCACACCATATTCAAGGCGATGATAATAATTTAAAAGTAAATGTTCCAAAATTACACATATACACATTAGAATAACACACAATATGGTTTAAAATACTTAGAATTTAAATTGATTAGAAGCCAATATTACACGTGTTGTATTCTAGTGAAGTGAGGAGTTTAACAGTCTGACGATATGTGGAATACTGCTATTGTGGAAGCGAAGAGTTCTAGCACTGACTGTGTCCAGGTTGTTACATGCTCTAGTATGGCAACCCGCTGATTTTTTCTTATTCAGGAGGATGCCAGTCACTGTGGAGCAGCAGCTTTGGCAGCCCCATCGTTGTTTGCCACGAGTATCCAACTCAGCTTCCTCCTCTTCATCATGAAGCTGTTCGGTGCCACATGACACTAGAGAGCCAAGAACCAGCTCTTTTCTATCAATGTTGCCTTTCAAATGCAATATTCCTACTTCCAAGAAGATTTAGACTATAAATTTGACCTCCCAGAGGTAGACCTCACTAACACAAACAGTTTGGATTTAGTAGAATGATCCAAAAGTAATTTTGTAATTAGGCTTGGTGAAAAATAGAGGATTTGGAATGCATCGTGTATATAATGTCTGAAGATCGAGTTTTGCTTGAACTGTGAGTGTGTAAAGGCTAAGCTAGCAAGCTTTTGGATTGTAGAGGAAACGAAAAGGTTTTTCAAGTGTAGAGAATCCTGGCATTGTTGCCTCTTTATTAGGACAATAATGACCCCTGGATGTCTACCTCAGAAGGGGCCTGCATACCCTTTCCCCTAGAGTGTAATCGGCAGTTTTAATTCTATGTAGAGCGTAGATGGATCGCTCTAATTCAACGTAGAGCGTAATTTGCGCATTTTGCATAGAGCGTAATTCGCCGCTTTGATTCTACATAATGCGTTGTAACTACCCGGAATTTATCATAAAACGTAATGGGGAGGTTTCCTGAATTCAGCGTAATACGTAGCCGGCTGTCAAAATTAAGCATAGAGCATTGTTGAGACACCCCCACCCCCCATGCAGGCCCTCTCAGAACTCTGTGGTTGACACCTCTTTCTTGCCTGTGGTTTCTAACAAGATTTGGACAGAGCACAGTTGTAGTGTGCCTGCCAAGAGATTAATTGTTCAACAACTGTTACAGGTGCTGTAAACTTCTCCTTGATATGACAGTGTGACATCTGGTGGAGCAAGGAATCAACTGACTTTCATCAATATTAGCATTCTATATGCAACATGCAAAGTAGAATGCAGCATAATTCTATATCTCAGTGCTTCAAGAATGAAAAATTACCTTTTCATTAAACAGAAAAAATTCTACATGCTGATAGACCACACTTTTGGAACAACTTACATTTTAACTGCTGTTTTATTGACATGTAAGTGCTGAAGATCTATGATATTTTGCTCTACATGTACTCATCTCTGGTATTATTGCCAGAGAAGTCTATCTTACTGACTGTGCCAAACAAAATCAGTATTTGGTAAACATGTTACAATGATTGGGAGATGTTATGATATTAATGATTTGTTTGGTTTGTGTCCAGTCCAAAATTACAAACTATCCATTTATGGGGGGCCTGGAGGATTAGTGGTGTATGTTGAACTATCAGATTCATATTTCACACTAAAATCAAAAGTGAGAAAGGAAAAATATTGTGTGTATGGACCGAACATTTGGTTGATCCCAGAAGCTTGACAAGAGTACTCTTTGCAGAGAAAAACTAAATATAGTGTTTAAATGTGCAATACAGACTGAGTTTTGACAAAAGAGTGAAATTTAATGTACAATGTATTTCAAAGCAATAAGCATTTTACACCACCAAAAATAGTACATTTGGCAGAAGATTTTTTAAAGATCTTATTATTTGGGTGTTACTCTTAGTTGCTAACTATGCAAAGTATTTATTTTCAAAGTATTCTTCTGTATTGAAGTTATATATAGTATATAGATCTATAGAGTTTGTAATATATGGACAGAATGTTTGTGTGTGTTATGTTATAACAATGTCTTGTTATTGTTGACTTAGAAACAAAAAATGCTGCCATCTGAATGGTAAGGTTGATAGCTGGAAGCTTCCTCAGCATTTTGATTACATGAAACGTTCAGTTTAAAATATGATATTTGAGCAGGCATTTTCACTATGTAAGTGCCTAACAAAAATGCACACATACAATTTTGATCTATTTGATATTAAAACAATCACAGATGTCGAGTCCTTTATTGATCAAGCACTGCTATTGTAAACTTCTCAAATTTGAATTGCTTGAAGGAGATATGTAGACCATTTTTAAGGAAGCATTTTCTAATCCGTGAATAGTTTCATCAGGTTGGTAAGACACTGAGTAAAAAGAGTCTCTTAAGCATTTTCTAATATTTAACCTAGAGTGTGCTGCAGTGAAGGTAGTGAAAGGGTATGTAGAGCTGTTACAATTCAAAACTGTCATGATGTGTTGGGTTTTTACACGGTTGAGCTGAAAATATGCTTTATTATAGCTGCTAGCAATGAGCTTCCAATCGTACGCTATCCTTGATGAAATTAGATTAGGTTTAATGAGATTGACATGGACTTAGCAGATAATTCAAAAGTTAAGGAGAGATAGAATGATGTAATTTTAGAGAATTTGAAAGTGAAGTGTTAAGAGCTGTGTTACTGTGTGCTGTCCTGAGCAAGGTTTTCTTGATCTGATGACTTGATTTTGGAGTGTGTTGATGGTGCTTGATATGACATTAAGACATAGTTGATTCATATGATGGCAGACCTTTTATGTACATTTAGAAATGGCTGCTTTATACTGAGTGAATTGTAAATTTTAAGGAAGATTTTCAAGGTAGAGTACTGTTATCGATGGTTCAACACCAATTTCTTAGTTGTTTCTTGTCTTTGTAAATTACAAAAATTACAAATTTAATTTACAATGTCTTTTTTTTAGTTTTGGGTTCGCCACTTTGGTTTAGCCCATTGTTGTTTCTAAAGTTTAGGTCTGATACTAAGAGGGAGCAACTTATAATTCAAGGTTGAACTTCATAAAAGCACATAATCCACTTTAGAATTATGAAAAGGCCATTTAACCATACCATATCTTACATCCGAGCCTATTTTCATATAGCTACAAAATTCTTTTCGTTAAAAGTCCAAGAAACAAGTTATCAAATTGGTGTTGCCCAGAGTTAGAGTGTATCATACCGGTACTAAACCAGTGCTCACAATGAGCCAAACAGTTTCCATGAACTAGTTCTGAACTAGCCTAGCAGGAGTAGAAAATCATAGTGATGAAATCAGCAGAGAATGACCAGGAATTCAGATTCAAGACAAGCAATTTGTAGGACCATGTATACAAGCAAATTTTTCTACTGAACGGTTCTGGAACAAACATGTCTATAGTTGTACAAAGAAAATAGTGTACAATACTAAACTGTATGAACTTTTTAGGAACAGTTATAGAATTTTAGAAATGGATTGCTCTTCCAGTTTTGCCAGACTTGCGTTGATTTACTGATTGTTGGCAATAAATTCTTGAAGAAAAATTGAAAGTTTCTTTGAGGACTGCTAATATTAAGGACTGAACATAATATCTATGCAAATGTTGAGAAGCTAACTCGTAACGTTTTCCAAAGTTACCCGTTTCTGTTACGCCTCTGACTTCTAATCTAGTGGCAGACGGTTTGTGGCAGAAGCGGGTAGCTAGGAAAACGCTATATGATTTAGCCTCCCAACATCTGCTTGGAGATAAGATAGACTCAATGTCAAACATGCCGTGGATAGAACATGGTGTCTCCAGAAGAACTTCGCCCTTGAGAAGAGAAGCACACTTCAATGTTTTTATTCCAAAACTTAGGGTAACGAAGAAACGTCTGACATGATTTCTGTCAATCAACGTTTGAAACCAGGGGCACTTTGGCATCAACGATGGCGGAGGAACAGTATATTATCATATTATGTTGCTGCTGGGAAATAAGTAAAGTTATAAAACATTTTATAAACAGTTAGATTTATGAAAACACTTCAGCATAATGTGTGAAATGAGTCATTCTTTGTATCCATACACACATTTTGCGAGCAGAATTGAACCTAAGAAGTAAATAAATGAAAATCAGTGCCACAATAAAATACTTTTCAAGACCTTAAAAACACAAAATTTCAATAGTTGCCACTTATTATATCAGTCAAGGCCTACAGAAAATAAAATGATTAGTTTTTTGTCGTGTAAACCCTTTGACAAAGTTATAATATGAATTTTTCTGTAAAAACTTGAAACCCCCATACGAGCCTTTGACGTTTGGCCATTCCCAAATAGCCGAAATCCGCGAGTGGATTGAAATCTCTTCTATTAGGGACACGCCCCTTTCTGCACTTCCGGTTTAGAATGTCCGAAATTAGGTTCTCTTGGGGGTTACCATTTTTACTTGATTGAGGTACAAATTTTAATTTCTCAAGAAAACGCTAAGTGTTTTCAGTAAGTTTTTAACAGTTCTGTCATAAGTTTTCTATTGTCTACAAATAGCACTGGAGAGAAAAGCCGTACGTTGAAGTTTTGTTTCGATTTTTCGGCCCGCTGACGGTCTCGTTGTTACCTTCGCCAAGAAGGTTATGTTTTCAGTAGCGTTTGTCTGTGTGTGTGTTGTGTGTGTGGTTTAGCAAGATAACTCGAGAAGCAGTTCATGGATTGGAATGAAACTTGGTAGGTGGGTAGGTCTTCATGAGACCTAGAAATGATTAGATTTTGGGCCCCCTGGCGGCTTTCCTAGGTACTGCAGCAGAACTTCCGGTTTTGATATTTCATGATCTGGACATGCTAGGGTCACGAATTTTGGTTGGTAGATAGCTCTTGGGGTAGGGAAAAAGTGACACGAGTTTGGGTCCCCTAGCGCCTTGTTCTGGAACTGCAGGAGCATTTGTTGAAAAAAAAGTGAATTACGATAACTCAAGCACCAGTTGTCGTATTGTCGTGATTTTTGGTATGTAAGTAGTTGAAGTGATGTTTGTCATAATCAGATGGCAATTATGCAAATCAGGAGCTAATTTGCATAATTAATGAGGAAATTCTATAAATCTGCATTGTTCGATAATAGAACTATGAAACACTTACTACTTACTTAAGACATCTACTTCAGAACAAGAAAAACATCTGAGGATATAGATAATGTAAATGAGGACCTAATTTGCATAATTAATGGCAAATTTTTATTATTTCATAGTTGTGACTGCTGCACCCTGAATTTCATACTTGCCACATTTGGAAGTTAAGTGAAGGTGGACATCGATAAACATGATTTATTCATGACCTCATTTGCATAATTTATGAGGATGTGCTACAATAGCCTTTTTGTTATGATAAGGCTGTCATTGGGTGGAGAATAGGATCAACTGATATAATCCATGCAAATTAGGCTCTTATTTACAAAATCAATGATTAAAATTGTATATTTCGTCCACCGTAAGGGTTAACATCATTTGGCGAAGGTATGAGATCGTGGAACTCTTGTTTGCAGAATGTGTCATTTTTCCAGAGATTGAGCGGGCAGCCGTGGCAAAACGGAAGTGGCTATTCTGATATAGCATAACAGTTCCTGTCACGGATTACAGCGAATATTGAGGCGGAATTGCCTCAATTTTGTCACAAATGACCTAATCTGATGACACAAACTTTTCATTATGTTTACCGAAGGAAACATATTATATTTGCTCTGTTTCCTCTTCCTCCTCCTCCTCCTCCTCCTCCTCCTCCTCTTCCGTTCCAAACACCTAAAAATCGTAGATATTTTCGTAATTAGAACCTGGAAGAAAATGAAATTCAGCATGCTGGTAGGTTGGTACGTAAGACACTGAACCGCTGTCATTTTGGCCAACATAGATGTGAAAAAATGAATTTATTTGC